ACCCTATTTATGACCAAAACGGCCGAAAAACTATACCCTTCGGGGCCGCACAGACCGATATAGCTCATATAAGGGAGTCCCCCCCCCCCCCCCCCCCCGGAGGGGCGTAGAACCAATAGTTGTAATTTGTGAGGATGCAGAGTTTGGTATTAAGATACGTTTGCATCAGACCTGACTGACGCACGCATACTCAATAAACTTTTCACATTGAATGTCTCGTGTTCGTGTAGTCAGAATGAAAGGTATGGGTCGTGAACGATGAACGATTGAAACATTCGTGTCTCTCATTACATCACTAGGATATGGATCGAGTCGGCCCAGGTCACAGCTCGACAGATTCATCTGACGATACGTGGGAGGTCTGACATGCCAGTGGATATCAAGGTTATTTCCTTCAAAGTCACCGAAGTTGTATTGATGGATGTACGTTTTCCCTGGCGGTAGAAGGCTATCCAGGACGCTGTTTAAAGGGATGCAGCTTTTGGCCTCCTAAATCGTGGACCATAGCTTGCATTACATAATAACAGTGACTTATTTATTTCCCCGAGGTAAATAAAATATGAGGAAATTATATGTCCCGGTCAGATTGGGCATTATTTAGTCCGTGGGTACTAAGTGGGCCTTAGGTCCCCCAACGCGATTATCTTATGGTAGCCAATCTATTTTAGGCTTGTCTGTCACGTTAGGTCACGTGTTTGTCTGTCACGTCATGGTTGCTCACTCTATTGTAGACGTTTCAATAGACGTTTCTGTCACGATAGGTCACGTGCTTGTCTGTCACTTCATGTTACCTCACTCTATTTAAGGCTTTCCAGTCAAGTTAGATCACGTATTTCAGGCGTTTTCTGTCACTTTATGTTGTATCATAGCATTTATTCTTTGAAACTAGGTCATGCTACGTTAGAAGGCGATTCTGTCACGCGTCATTCTAGAGCGTGACAATTGCGTGACCGAGCCAGACCATAACTCCAATATGAATCAATTGGAACTCGAAATAAAACTAGTGACAAGCACGGGAAATGCCGCGTGCGCCTTATCACGATTGGTTCAAAATGCTGAACCTGATTGGTTAAAAATACGCGTCATTGCTCCTAATTGGTTAGAATTGTTGGCAAGAGTTTTGTGACTAGACTTGTGTGACTTTTCAGAGATATTGTCACGAATTAGAAACTCAATGTTGAAACGCGGAAATGAAGCCTTTATGTCAATTTCTTTGACAATTTGCTTGTATGTCGCATTTCTTTCCTCTGAAAATATTGCCATTAGCAAAGAGATGTTATTATGATAGTATTTTATCAATAATTAGTCGGTTTTAAATTCATTATTGTTAAATTTTTTAGATAGGTTACATTGGGTATAGGGAGGGAAAGGATTGGAGTAAGGGAATATTTTATTTGTTACAGAATGAACTAATATTTGAAAATAATGGGACAGTGCATAGACGGAAGCGTCATGCAATTTATTTATCGTTAATGTCATGGTTCAAAACTCATGACCTACGTATTTACTGCACACTGGGTCAATGTTGTATTTATTGCGGGGTGGTCAGTGTCTTGGCCTCAAATGCCAGTCATCTCCCCCGCCCTCGGCCTAATCTCCGGGCGAGAGACGGTAATTACTACGATTATCAGTTGAGTAAGGTGCGACGAAAGTTTGGTGACCGGGTTTTAAGATTCAACTTGTTTTGTTGTCACGGGCAACTAGCTCCGTTTCTAGTTGCGACTTCGGCCTTTGACGTAATTGGCAGCAAAGAGCACGAAATTGCACGCGACGGTATTGGTACCATTAGAAGCGAGGAAGGTTGCCTGTGGCAACACGGTAATTTTTAATCCAAAACTTTGTCACCAAAACTCCGTCAAAGCTCTCGTCTTACTCAGTTGATAATCGTAGTAGGCTGATGGCGTGAGGTGACTGGCAGTTCAGGCTATCAGTGTCTGGTAGATTAAAAGGGTTCAGTGGATGTATTTATTTAGCATTTCTATTAAAATTTAATAAGTCTAATATTTATGCTGTCTATCCTTTGCGGAGATGGTGCTAAATATATTTAAAAGGCGGGTGTAAAGGAATCTTGCGTTAGGCGCAGACTTCTCGCACTCGGTTGCAAGGTACATTCTGTAGGATTAATCAGTCGTTGAGGCGTATTTAAAAGGGCTATGTTACGAAGTTTTGCCACGAAAAAAATCGCTTTCAATTTGTGGAAACTTCGAAATCATAGTTTACTAAGGCTGAAAAATACCACAGTGGTAATTTGAACCAGAGAACAAGTGAGGATGGTAAAGGATGGAAAAGATTACGCGGAATGTGAATTACCTACTTGAAAGACTTAGGCTACATTTTTCAAGACGAGCAAATCGTGCTATGACTCCTTTAAATCAAGCCTCTTTGTGAATTTCTCGTTCTCTTCCCAGGGAAAGTCGGGAACATTCACTTGTAACTATTGAATTTCTTTAATTATTAACTGTAAGAAAAGAGCTTTAAACTTAAAAAATATAATTAAATGGCGTGTCATTCTCACTTGTCTTTGTTGCACGCGCTTCACGACTAAAAACGGCGTGGAAAGGACACGATCCGAAGGTCATGCCCGTGATGTCCACAATTGGAGAGATCTGTGCTCTTAGGGTATTAATTTTGCTTTTAATGTTTCCTGCGGTAAGATCTCCGGTCCTCGGGGACTACCGAACAAACGTGAAACAAAGCTTGTATTATATCGCCCTATATCATCCAGATTTCCTTGCTTTGGTGACCGCCATAATCTTGTAAAGTATTTTTTTGATGAGTATCTCCCTCTTCGTAGAATCAGCCTACCTAACTAGGAAAATTTAATTAGCAGGAAAAAAAGAGTAGAAAGAAAGATAACACCATGCATGTCTAAAATTTCTAGTTCGTGACTCTATCCAAACTCATCAATATGTATTACTAGTTTAAAAGGGCCGGCTTGTGATACCGTCAGTCGTGAAAAAAGCCACAAGCAAGTCAAGGGTAAAAGCCTGTAAAAGAATTAACGAGCCTTGTATTGTCTTGATTTACTACTAGGTAACCACCACTAAACGAAGCCAAGCATCTGTGTGGCAATCAATGATGAAAATAACCTAACTCTCAAAATATCAATTCTCTTAGCTTTACAGTACAGCTACCTCTACTTGCGGAGAATTTCGCGGATCATCAGGAAAGTGCATATGACGAACATCTCCGAAGTACATTGATACGGCCGGTTCATTCTCATCACCTAATTGCGAGAATCTGTATTGAATGAGTAAAGAGAAACTATTACTTGAACAACTGGAATGGAGAAATGGGAAACTTAACTTATTTGAAATCTAAGAATTTTAACTGAAAGCCATTAAAAGGCTCTATATGACTACTAAATTGTTCGTCAACTAATTCAGTTCCATTTACTATACTTTTTCGAGCTAACTAGCAGCAGCTGCAAAGTGAGTTTTAGCCGGAAACTCAACATTTCCTGCCGTAAAATCACAATGCCAGAGTCGTTAAAATTATTGCTCATTTGTTTACAACGGAAGCCCGATTATCTGTGTTTTTGTTTCAAGCTCCCTGTTGAAAAAAGTCACGCAAATTATAGATGTTTTACATGGCTTTGACAAAAGTGCAAAAAATATATATATATATTATATTATATATATATATATATATATTGTTTTCTATTTTCATTTTAGTTTCAGAAAATAAGCTTTCCCTTTGCAAAAATCACTCACGGACCAGATTTATTCGTCTCTTTCCCAAAGCCTCGGGTAAACGTAACTGAGGCCTGGGGAGGGAAAAGCCTTGAGATCAACCAGTTTTCATTGGTGATTTTTATTCTTTGCGTTTAAAATTTGGTAACGTAAAATTTTCTACTTTTTTTGTGATTCAATATCTCTACAAATAAGGCTAATAGCAGTGAATAATTAGCATTAAGTTATTTTTCTTGTTGAAAAAATTGACTTGGCCAAGTATGATTGATGCGCAGCATGTACAATATTTCAAAAGACAATTCTGAACAGAATTCTAAACACTCCTGAGTATTTTGACAACATGTGTAAGGTAAGAAGTTGAATCTAATTTTTTTTTACTTTTAAATTTATCAGTGTTTGGCGGAGTCTACTCTTGCCATGTTTAATCATCTCCATAAAGGAAAAGAACGAAATCAGAAAGTCATAGACTTAATCACAACTAGTCTTCGTATCCGCCCAATCAGGGTTTATTTTTGTCTTTCCGGCCCAAAAAGGTTAAGCAGATGACAAAACAGTCTTAGTTTCATCATTGCAGAAAAGCCATGCATCTCCACGTAAGGTATATACGGGGCTGAAATAATAATAAAAAAAACGATAGACAGAAGACAAGATATATATTCCAAGACTTTCTGTTTTTGATTTAAATAGCCCAGGGTCATATTTTTGTTACTATGAAAACTTCCTTTTCCGCGAACTAATTAATTTAATTTCACGTCGCGTATCCAAAGCAGTCACGGAAAGACTTTTGTCTCCTCGAACAACACAACACAAAGTTTGTGTGGTCTACAGCCGGGAGACTTTATTGCAGCCATAATAGTGCGAGAGAAGCGAATTCGTATTTCGGCAAATTTTCCTCTGGCTTCGTCGTCTGGGAATATCTAGAACCTTCGGGGATGACACTACAAACAATACTGTTATCACTGAGTTATCGCTCTGAATTATGCTATTAAGATGGAAATATTACGGCGGTGATTGGTCGCAGTGTTGAAATAATGGCCATGTGTATTTACATTCATATTTAAAACACCGCTTTATTTGCTTTACGAAAGCGATATTTGTCAAGAGAACTAAATTAAAATTGAAACTTTTCACAGACTTCCTAATTTTAATCAACGACTAGGGGAAGCGAGGAGCTCTCGAGAATTTTCCTTTCCGGCTCAACCTTTCTCACTGAACAAACCGTGAGTATTTTTAACGTTTATATTCACTAAAATTCCTCCGCTAAATCATCTCGGACAATACACCCAGAACAGTTTTCCTTCTTGATTCGTGTGAGCCGTAACCGATGTACCTAACGGTCTGAATAATGCATCACTTTGTAAGGGGAGGAATATTTTCCGCAAAAGCTTTTCTCGCCCATACTCTGTTCTTTTGTGTGTTTCGCCGCGATGTTGTCTCCTTGCCGACTCACGTGGAAATATAACAGAACAAGATTAATTTTACAGACTTTACCCGAAGAAATTCAGTAAATTAGTTTGCAAACTTTATCACATCTGGGCGAACTTGAATGAATGAAATAGTTTTCGAAGGACTATTGTTATAATAGCATATTATATAGGTAGGAACGATAAGATACAGGGACCGCTTAAGCCCGGATAAATAGGGAAAAAATGTCTTCTTTTTTTCATGATGCTACAACTGTATCAACAGCAAAAATACTGCCAAAGCAACGCTTATCAATTAATATTTTATTCCTTCCAAGATAACAAAATATTTATTTACCTTGAGGTTTGTTTGTTAATTCAAATATATTTAAATTTTACTCTTAATAAAACCCGAGTTTAACCGCACCTAGTTATAAGACAACCAATATTATGATTATTCTTTTTACTAGCTGGATTTTAATGATAACGCTGAGGAAATTCAGTGAGAGCATTTGTTCGTGGCTTTTCACTTGAGGTGTAACGCGTCGACGAAGGAAGCAAAGTGTATTACGCAACTATAAAGGTTTCAAGATAGTCTTCTGACAAAATATCGGCAGCTTTTGAGACAATCCCTTAGTCTTCAAGTAATTTATTCATTTCGCAGCTTTTAGCCCATTAAAAAACCTGAAACTGGAGCAGTTTGGGGTCGGTAATCACACACGAATAATGCTTCTGATCTTATATAGGCGTGGTTCCACTTTGTTAGTGAACTTGCATGTAAGAATAGTCTAAATAGAACGATTTTAAAGCACACCAAGACCCAAGATAATCAAATTTAGTTCAGTGGTGTTTTCCTGCACACCCTCTTTTTCTATAAGGATATTGCTTTCCTAGCATGGCCCAGTCTGAACGTAGTCTCCTCAACTAACTATGGTCTAAATAAAAGGAATACAAAGTGGATGCCGTCAGATTATCTGTCCTATCACGACATTGTTGGCGTTGAAGTAATTTTGAAGCCAGACTACAGAAAAAAATTAAAATAACACCGTTTTGGAGCCAGACTTCAGAACACAAAACGTCTTGCAGAAAATTCGTTAGCATCGAACATAAAGCTAGTACCGACTGTGTTGTTTTTTGGCTATTTTTGCCGCTTAGAGAAAGGAAGGATTCTATACGGTTTAGTTAGAAACAAATAATTGTATTATATTTACAAATTTTCAACGCACAAAATTAGATTCTTTTCAAAATCTCAGCCTCGGGCTTGTTCTTAAGATATTCTTAAAACTTCGCAAATTTTAACCTCGATATTCTTATAAAATATATTCAAATAACAAAAAGACTGTAAAACGTTGGAGCAATCTCAATCGAGTGCAAATATATAGAGGCATGCTGTTGATCAGCGACAGTTCACAGAATTACGCGTCTGTTTTCACCTACAGCCGCCGCCTGATGTTAAATAATTTCATTTAATTAATTTACTGAATGCTTCATCATCGATCGCTCGGTCAGTTAGTTAGATTGTCTACAGTCGAAGCTTCACTGACGGCCACCTCTCCGCTAAGGTCATTTTTTCTGTTCCGGCGGACAGTCCATACCTTCACTCATATTTTAACCTCTCCACAACGGTAACGGCCATTGAGGCCCATCACATTTACCAAAATAACCTCTTGAAAACGCCCAGTTAATCAACGTCTGAGGAACAGGTTTGTACAAATCCCTTTTTCTTCTAGAAGGTCACAAAGTTTGATCCATACCGCGCGTTCTTGGTATATCTGTTTCTGTTTGGCTAATGTTTTATCGATATATTTTGATTGTGCTACGTATTTACATGCTACAATAAGCATCTTTCAAGGATAAAAACGTTGCACCCCGGAAAAAAAAATTGGAGTCATATTACACTCCTACCTCCCCGTAATGGCCACCTCTCTACAACGGCCACTTCGTAGAGAAGTTGGACGGTGTAAGTTGAATCTGACTCGGCAAATACCTAGTTACCCAGTTTTTGTAACGCACGAGTACTTGTCGGTGTATGAAGAGATTGTCCAGCGCGGGAAACCGAAATAAGCTTGGATACACCTCATTTGTCAAAAGAGTCAATTCTGTCTTCTGATTCGCTGATTTAATGCCATGTAACACCTCGAAAACGAAGTTAAATTGTACACGGCCGAGTAAATAGCTTCTTTCTCGTAAAAAGCTGTATTTTGGATGAGTATTTCGCTTCTAGTGCTATAGCCAGGATGGTTTTTGATAAATTCGAGAGATTCAAAATATGGCGTGACAGTTAAAACGATCCGCTGGGTGGGGCATGGTCTTGAATGAAGCAATATTACAGGACCCTTCAGGGAGCATCACAGGTTTTCGTGTATTTTACAAACCAAAGACGTCAACACTTCGTTTAATTCCTCGCTTGAAA